GATCATGGCCCTGTACTTGGCACTGGTGAGGCCGCAGCTCGAATCCTGTGTTCAGTTTTGGGCCCCTCACTACAAGAAGGACATTGAGGTACTCAAGCATGTCCAGAGAAGGGCAACGAAGCTGGTCAGGGGTCTGGAGAACAAGTCTTATGAGGAGCAGCTGAGGGAACTGGGGTTGTTTAGTCTGGAGAAGAGGAGGCTGAGGGGCGACCTCATTGCTCTCTACAACTACCTGAAAGGGGGTTATGTTGAGGTGGGTGTTGGTCTCTTCTCCCAAGTAACTAGTGATAGGATGAGAGGAAGTGGCCTCAAGATGCACCAGGGGAGATTTAGACTGGATATTAGCAAAAATGTCTTTACTGAGAGAGTGGTCAAGCATTGGAACAGGCTGCCCAGGGAGGTGGTGGAGTCACCATCACTGGAAGTGTTCAAAAAATGTGTGGACGAGGCACTTGGGGCCATGCTTTAGTGGGCATGGCAGTGTTGGATTGATGGTTAGACTTGATCTTAAAGGTCTTTTCCAATCTTAACGATTCTGTGATTCTGTGAGTGCTCAGGCTCCAAGAGGTAGAAACATGCCCTGCATGGTTTGCATGGCACATCTGATCTGTTTGTCTCTGTGCATGTTGTGATTTTCCTGACTCGGGCTGTGGTGTTTCTGCAGCGCTCAGCAATGGCCGAGAGCTCAGCTGCGGCAGCAGCAGGGACAGCGGCACCAACTGTGCTAGATGAGCTCCTGGAGATCACAGCTCAGAGTCTGGTGCGCACCGAGGTGACCGAGCACTATGAGGTTATTCGGGAGCTGGGCAGGGGCAAGTACGGCCACGTGATGCTAGTGATCCACAGACAGAGAGGTAAGGAACCAACTGCACCCTATGAGCTACTGTGCCTTGCCTCCTCTCCACTCATCAGGGCATTGGGTGGGCTGGTGGCTCCTTGGGGCCAGGCGCCAGGCACGGTTGGAGGTCCCCAGGGAGACAGGGACTTCCCCAGCCAGGGACCATCCCACTGCACCCAGAAACAGAGCAGGTGATGCCAGGGAGCAGCCCAGAATATCAGGCAAGGTTATGGTGATGAGGCAGGTCCAAGGTCAAGCTGGGAAGTCAATCTACAAGTCAAGGTCAATAAGGTTCACGGATAGGCACCAATGTGGATGTGATATAGCTGGAAACCAGCACTCCTACCACACAGCTCAGGTGGAGAGTGAAGCCCCTTGCCTGAGCTTAAATGGTGCCCTCAGGCCCATGGACAGAGAGTGTGAGTGGAGGTTCCAGGTGGGGTTGGCCAGGGCCATTAAGGCCTATGGGTGCCCACAGGACCCTGACACTACTCTTCCCCAGTAGTCCCAGCTCAGACTGATGGGCCCACCTAGCCTGAATTTCCCTTCCTCTACCTAGTGTTCCTGTGCGTGCTCTGACTGGCTCAAAACACACACCAGTGTCAGTGCCTGCTCATAGATCTGGTGTCCACAGGATATATCCACACAAAGTGGCAGGCCAGAGACCTCCCTATGGCTGTGAGTGTCCGGACCCATGGCTGCTCAGTGCCCTCTTTGTCTGGCCTTGGTTTGAGTGACTTTAAGAGGAGTCTAACCCACTCTTCCCCATCCCTAGGGACTCCTATGGCTCTCAAGCTGCTACCCAAAGCCAGTACCAAGCTGCACACCTTCCTGTATGAGTACTGTGTGGCACTCTCCCTCGCCACCCACCCTGCCATCATCAGCATGTTTGGAATTGCCATTGAGTCCAGCCAGTACTATGGCTTCCTCTACGAACCAGCGCTGCACAAAGACCTCATCTCTATCATCAAACCCCGCGTGAGTGCTGCTGCAAGGGTGTGGGGACTGGGACTGCAGCGGTTGGCCCCGTGCAGGCTGACCAGGTCGGAGGGAGGGAGATAAAGACTGTGGGTCTCTCATCTCTGGGGTCTACAGTGTTGAAGCAGCTTCAAGCTTGCAAGACCAGAAATGCAAAGGTCTTCCCCAGTGCAGACCACACAGGTGAGAGCCCAGCTGGCAGGGCTGCCACGGTGCCCTGCCCGTGCCGTACCGTGTCTCTCTCCCTGTGCAGGACGGGATCCCCGAGCCAGCTGCTAAGCAGTGTGCCAAGCAGCTCGTGAGCGCGCTGGAGTTCATCCACAGCCGGGGGCTCGTGTACCGTGACGTCAAGCCTGAGAACGTGCTGCTTTTTGATCCCGAGTGTCGACGCATCAAGCTGACTGACTTTGGGCTTACACGGCCCAAAGGTACCAAGCTGAAGCTGGTGGCCGGGGTAATCCCCTACACTGCGCCTGAGCTGAGCAACACCGCTGATGCCCAGGGCGTGCCCATCGACACCAGCTTGGATGCCTGGGCCTTCGGCGTGCTGCTTTTCTGCCTGCTGACTGGCTACTTCCCCTGGGAGCAAAGCCTGCCAGATGACCCTTTCTTTGAGGACTTCATGCTGTGGCAGGAGACGGGCCTGGAGGAGGACCTGCCGCGCCACTGGAAACGCCTGACATCTGAGGCCGCCCTGATGCTGCGGAGCCTGCTGGCCCTAGATCCCACCAAACGTGGCCCTGTCAGCGGGGTGCTGCGCTACGTCGATTGCCCTTGGCGGCTGGAGGACGGGCGCAGCGAGGAGGCTGCAGTGAAGCCCTAGAGCCTGCTCGCCTTGAAGGGAGGGAAGGCAGATCTCACCCTGCGCGGGCGTTCAGATTCTGAGGCATCACAGTGGCTCAGGTACAAGGCGTCATGGTGACCCAGAGAGCAACTTCTCCACAGCACCACCCCTGCCACCACAGAGCTAGGCTCCTTCCCCAGCTGACGGTCCTTACCCCATGGCTCAGTGCTGGCCCAGTGCTCTCCAATGCCACCTCCTTGTGCTTTCTCAGGGTGTGAAAACATCTCCTTTCTCTTGGAAATGACTGTCTGCATGTGAAGTACCCACTCGCTTCCTGGCCACAGGGACTCCAGGGTGGTTTCTGTGGGCTGCAGCACCTGCCTTGTCCTCAAAATAGAGCAAAATGTGTACCTTTGTGTTTCTGTATGTGGCTCTTTTACCCTTATAATAAAATGCCTGTGGGGGCCTGCTTGCTGTGGGAGAGCAGGGGCATGACACAGCCTGCGGCCATCTCAGGAAAACCTGTGTGAGGCAGGGGCTACCCCTGGATGCTGCCTGGGCGTCCCTCAGGACCCTTGAAGGGTGGCTTCAGGTGAGTGGGGTGGAAGGGCTGGGGAGCTCCCAGCATGTGGCTGTGGATGGTAACTGGGGACCACTGATGGCACTGAAAAGGTGGTGGGAGCCATGAAGGTGGAGTGTTGGAGAGCGCTATGGGGAACTGCAGGTTGTAACCTGCTGACTGCCATGCATTTCTTCCCATTTCCTTGTGTTCAGGACCAGCTGACAGATGGGCTCTTCTGCACAGGGGGTTTTTAGCAGCAGGAGCCTCAGTGTCTGTTCACACAAGTCTCCCCCTCTAGTTCTCTTCATTCAGGAAAATGACCTGCAAACACCATCAGTCCTGCTAAAGCACAATTCACCCTTCTCTTGCCTTGAGTGGCTTAGGTACAAGTGGAAAGGTGAGCTCACTGCCACGAATGTCCACATGTATGCTTCAGCTGAGAAGGCAGCAGCACTAGGAAAGGCTAACAGAAGACCTGGAACCACAGGTAACATAAATTTATCTGTACAAGTAACCCCAGCAAAATTCCCCTAGAGATACCTCCCAGCAGTCCTACGTCTTTGCCTTGCTCTCATTCCTAGTCCTCCTCCAGACCAACCACTCCCTCCTCATAGAGCCAGCCCCTCTCTGTGCAAGCCTCCGCTACCATTTCTTCCCTGCTCTTGTTCTCCTGAATCCCAAGGAACCATTTCAAATACTATCCAACACCAGCCCAAGCACACCTCTTCCCTTGCACTGCCTTCAGACCCTAAGAGAATGCCCTTCATGCTCTTTTAGATGCCTGCTTACCCCACTAGAAGACCTTCCTTCTCCCATTTCCTATCACCACTTTAACCCTTCTCCAGCAACAGGCAACATCTCCCAATGTCCTTCTAGGTGCACATTTTAGTCATGGAAAGAGAGAGCAAAGAAAGAATTAGGGGTTAGAAGCTCTTCTTACTTTGCTACCTCTTTCCAGTTCCCAGGATTATGCTATTGGTAATCCCTTCCAGCTCTTAGCATGATCCTGTTGTTGGAAACATTCCCAGTCCAGTTTCCTTTCTCAGTGACTTTGTGACATCTAAAAGTGCACTGCTCCAAGCACCATACTTTCTAGTATCTGAGCTTTTCTTTTACCTCACATCCTTTACTCACACTGACTTCTGTAGTTCCTCAGCCTCTAGCTCTCTTTTTCCAGCTTCTTCTACCCACTGGCATTTTATCATTATTTAACTTCCCCACTAACATACCCTTTCTACTACCCATCATCTGATAAACATCTTTCGTTCATCCCTCTGTTGGTGATATCACCTTCATACTACTCTTTTGTACTTTTCCTGCTCCCTACATCCCTTATCTTTTGTGTCTTCCTTCCAACTCCCCGCCCTACCTTATCGTTAATTAACATTGTTACATTGATGTATCTATTCAAGATACAGGTTTCTTCTGTCTGCGTCCATCTCTTAGAATCTTTCATTACCCAAAAATGTAATAAATGCTGCTCAGATTTGTTTTTAATTACTCTGTGATTACTGTAGGAACAGAAAAGGAATGTAAAGATAGAGTTCCTGTATTTAAAATAGAGAAGCCCTAAGACCAAGGGACCTTTAGGCCAGGTAGCTGACAACTATCCAGTGAAAAATACTGGAAAATCTGATACAGGTGCTTGCTAATAGAGAATTAAAGAACAGGAACGTAGCTATGTGGACTGCAACACTCAGTGCTCTATTTGATAATAAAGTCGTGTTTGATGAAGTAAATTCATAGCGTTATGGTACACAATTTTTGTGAAGCATGACCTATTGATATTAAGAAAATTACAGTATGCTATATTGATTAAGAGGATGTGCTACGCGAAGTCAATAAAGCATCCATTAAATGAATTGAGAGCTTTCAATGGATGGAAGAAATAATTGTTAGTTGGGAATACTCCTTGGTTATTTTGGTTGGTTGGTTTCTGCAGGGATCAATAGTCGAATGCAAACTGGTCAACATTTCCATCCATGATTTGAAGGTAAATACAAACCCAATGCAGGTACAACCCTGCAGATGACACAAATATGAATATGGTGATAAACAGCAAGAGGAACAGGCCACTCAAAGAAATCTGTGTAACTTGGTAAGTTAGGTGTATTCAAACAAAAAAAAATTTCTTACAGGCAGGAGAAATGTATTCAGGTAGGAACTGCTATGAATAAAAGCCATCCTCACAGAAGGACTCCTGAAAAAACCTTGCAAATCATAGACGATGCCCCCTGGTGGGGCTGTGGTTTAAGGATGTAAGAAAGTCTTCTGGAAGAAAATAATGAGCTATACTATGTAAAACAAGAAGACTGAAGGGTGACTTGGTTATGATATAGAATCCTGGGAAGAAAATTCTTGCTACTAATGACCTGTTTTTAATTTGAGAAAGGTCCAAAAGCAACCATGAGAGACTGGAGCCAAACACACTTAAGTGAGCCACAACATTGCAGTACTGAGGGTTCATGCCTACTGAGAAAAAAGGTCATGAGGAAAAGCTGAGAGAGCTGGAACCGTTCAGCCTCGAGAAGAGAAGGGTCAGGGTGGATCTTACACTTCTTTAAACTTCTGGGCACAGGTATAAATTGAGAGAGGGGTGGCTGGCGAGCAGCCCTGCAGAAAGGGATCTGGGGGTGGCGGTCAAGAGCAGGCTCAGTATGAGCCAGCCCTGCGCCCTGGCAGCCAAGAGGGCAAACCGCACCCTGGGGTGCATCAAACACAGCGTAACCAGCCGGGCAAAAGAGGAGATCGTCCCGCTGTATTCAGCGCTGTGCGGCCTCACCTTGAGTGCTGTGTGCAGCTCTGGACCCCACAATGTAAGAAGGATGTGAAGGTCCTTGAATGCCTTCAGAGGAGAGCAACAAAGCTGGTGAAAGGGCTGGAAGGCATGTCCTGTGAGGAGTGGCTGAGGACTTCGGGCTTGTCTAGTTTGGAGAAAAGGAGGCTGAGGGGCGACCTCATTGCTCTCTGCAGCTTCCTGACGAGGGGACGTGGAGAGGGAGGTGCTGATCTCTTCTTCCTGGGATCCAGTGATAGGACGTGTGGGGATGGTCCCAAGCTGCACCAGGGGAGGTTTAAGCTGGATGTTAGGAAACATTTATTTCCCAAGAGGGTGGTCAAACACTGGAACAGGCTTCCTAGACAGGTGGTCGATGCCCCAAGCCTGTCAGTGTTTACGAGGCATTTGGACAATGCCCTTAACTTTTGGTCAGCCCTGAAGTGGTCAGGCAGTTGGACTAGATCATCATTGTAGGTCCCTTCCTACTGAAATTTCCCTTCCCTTCCCTTCCCTTCCCTTCGCCTCTCCCTCTTCCTCCCTC